AAAGATCTGTAATACTTTTTTTTCTGTCTCATACTTGCTTTGTGATTGCTATCAAGTTGTATATTAATGCTATACATTTATTAAGATTATAACTTTACAAAAAGAATGTTTTTATAATTGTATACATTAATAACCATTTTATAACAATTGTAAGTAAACAATAGTTGTTATTACTTTATTATATTGTAAGTACCACTCTGTTTTTATAATTATAATAGAAATATAATGTAAACATAATACTTTGGCTTGTCATACAAGGTTAGTATAATTAGTTTTATAGATTATATTTATCCATAGTACTTATATTGTCTTGTAATGTGTTAATATGTCTTATTTAGACATTACAATTCATCTGGAAACCTTGCAGTTACTTTATAATGTATATATAATGCTTATATTGCTTTATAATGCATATACAATGTTTATTTTGCTTTACAAAGTCTAAAATTCCATATAAGGAATGCGACTTTTTCGCGATGGGGAAACAGGCTTTCAACAACTATAACATGAAGCAAGGTGATTCTTCAGGAAATCATTACTCCTACAAATGGGGTAGACTACTTGGAGAGGGATCATACAGCTGTGTATATGTAAGCAGTTTTTATCACAACTTACATTTACAACTTGCTTATTACTTTTATTGCTAGGAACTCAAATGTAGAAATCTGACTACTCCTCAAAAGACTGTGTACTATGCAGTTAAAGTTGTTAAAGATGAGGATAAAGAAAGTATCAAACAGGAGACAAGAACATTACAGTTTCTACAGAATTGTACACATAAAAATATTGTAAGTACAATGACTACAAATAGTAACTATAATAACACATATTAACATACACTATTTCTATTATAGGTAAAGTACTATTGGTCCAATACCATTTATAATGGTACTTTATTTGCCTTTGAGCTCATCAATGGTGGAGACCTTCATAGTGCAACAGAAATAAGGTACAATAACCAAAATCCTTGGAATATAAGTGAAATTGCAACTTTTACAAAGTAATTCTAATTATTTTAAGGTACTAACTCCTACTTACTGTATTCCTTACAGACAAATACTAGCTGGATTATACTTCCTTTCTAGTTTTAATAAAACCTACCATATAATCCACTGTGATATTAAGTAAGTTTAAACATTAATATACTTGTATATGTTAAAATAGTCCTTTACAGGCCTGCAAATCTTTTACTTAATGGTAAAACTATAAAAATTACTGATTTTGGACTGTAAATATTTAAACTTATTGAGTATCATATGTTTCACTCACAGTATTATTATTAAGTGCAGTGAAATTAAAACATGAAGTCAAGTCAAAAGAGTATGAATTAGCTGGCACATCTGATTATATGGCCAAAGAAAGATTTTCTGACTTAGTAACTCATAACTCAGACATTTGGTCTGTATGGTAATTACATTTCATAACTTTGTTCTAAGCACTTTTTTATATATATTTATAGGATTACTGCATACTTTATGGCAGGAGCAAGTGAACCTAATAACTGGGATGAAAAATGGAAAGAATATAGAAAGAGAGCTATAAAGCAGCAAATGAATGAAAGTAATATACCTTCTTTATTTAAGACTCAGAGTAATTATAATTTTCTTAATATATAAGAATCTGTATTTAATATTTGTCTGTTGTTTAGATAGGCGTGAAAGAGAAATGATTGTAGCTACAGTAAAATTTTACATGAGGGACATAAAAAAGACATTAGGCCAACTTGAAGAGTTATCAACCTGGGATCCATGTTTGTAGTTGATTGATTTGTATCTTTCCAAGAGTTACTAAATATTCTTTAACAGATTTTGTACAATTTCTTATATATTTAGCTGAACCCGACTGGAAAGAGAGACCATCTGTTGAAGATGCTCTTAGACACTCTGTAAGCAAGCTTTACAGATTTTTGTTCTATACAGACCCAATAACATTATTTGGTAGTTTATTACACTGTACAGCAATCACTAAGCTTGGAAAGGGTCAAAAAATGGAATAACTATACTTTAGTAGTGTCATTCTATAGTAACAATTTTAAATGATCTAAACCTGAATAATAATACAGGTTTAAAATCTATATATTAGGAAGACATATAGTCTAAAGTCTTTAGTTTTATATTGCTCTTACTATTTAATGGTTAGAACACTGTTCAGTCTTTACAGTTTGAAGGTAAGAGCTATGTTGAATTAAGACTTGACTGTAATGAACATGCTGGCTGATTCGATTTTGTAATGAACAAGATGGCCCTTATACAGAACTCAACCTATTATTGCCTTTTGCATTTTTATGTATGTCCCAACTTTCCTGCCATCTTGATCTAGTTTTACAGCTTTAGTGGCTAGCCCTATCATCACTTGTAAAATAGTATATGGACTGTTTTCCTATTACTGTAATATCGTTTCTGGTATTTTATTCTTACAGTGTGTCAAAAGTATTGTAATACTATGTGACTGACAACTCATTTTACTATAACTCTGTCAATTCTAAACCAATTTAATTGAAAAAAATTGTATTGTAAACTAGAGATACTATACCAATTAATAATACATTATTTTATAATGAAAAAATGTTGTAGAAATAAAGATTGGTATTGTAAGAAAATGAAGGTGTTGTAATACTTATACTTATATACAGTCAGTCAACTTTCAACCTCTAGAAATACACAATACTACAACCATGCTCAATTAAAATCTAATATTAAGTATACCCTACATTTGCATTACTTAATGCATCAAGTTGTGGCAAAATTAGTTTACAGAATTTTGAAATATAAGAAGTTGGAATATTATAGTAATTTATTCAATAAAACCTCTCAGAACTTTATACTACTAAGTTGCTCTACCTAAACAAATGTAGTATAATTAAGATAGTATTATTATCTTTACATGATGCTTATATTGAGTATATTAGAGACTTGTAAGAGATGTTACATACTACTTACTAAAAATCAAAATATTATATAGTTTAATATGTACTTTAAATAATTATCTTAAAACAGGATAAAGGCACTAATTATAGTATACACTAATAGTTAAGAATATTAAGATAATATATATGAAAAATATTAGGGTACAATTCAATATTCATTTTGTTATTAATCTAATAACACATGTTTACAGTTGTTAAAATAATATATTCTTAAATAATTTTGTTTTCACTGTTAAACTTTGCTTTTCTTACTTATAAACAGTATTAAATATATACTGCACCTTCATTTAACACTCATATATAATTTTGTGTCAAGAGGAGTCAAATCTGAATTTATATAAGGTAAAAAATAAATGCTAGTTTATACTAATATACTGTACAAAGGTTTTTCTTCATTTTCTACAATTACACTTTGATACTTTACTTGATAATGGTTCCTAATAGTTATACTAGATTAATAATTTATATTTATAATAGTAACAAGGCTAAGTAATTGTGGTAACAGGTAGAAAATACTATAGTTTAAAATTAGTTAGTTTTTCAAGTAGATCTATAAATGAGTAGTCAAGCAGATATGTAGTGATTATACAGTAAAAATACTTTAAACTATCTAGCTTATACTCTATATAATATATAATACTCAAAATGAGTAACTAATAGTATAGTCTTGGTATTGTACTACACAGATAATTAGAGTTTTGGACAATTCTAGAGTCAGACACACTAAACTACTTATAGTTAAATAAATAAGCTTTATAAGTAGAGCTAAATTATGAGATATTAAAGAGGTAAAGTAAGAATACTAAATAGAATATACAGAAGAGTGTAAAGGATAAGAAAAAGAGTATTTGAGAGGGAGATTTTATGTAATAGTAATTATTTCCCTTTGTATCCAATTATTATTAAAATAACAGAAAATAATTATATTAAAATATTTAATACAATTCATTGTTATCTACAATAATTAAGGAAAACAATTCGAGAACACATACATTGTAATGGTGGTGCACCCAGTGTGTTGGGTAACCAACGATTCTGTGGGAGGACGAAGCTGGGAGGACCTCCTCCTGGTACAAGACTCTGTGCAGCCTATGCTAAGATTTGTGCAGAGAGCGAGTGAGAGTGTCCGTGTCCGCTCTGATGCAAATACGAGTAGGCAGAGGTTGTGATCGGCTCAGACTCGAGCGAGAAACGAGTGCATTGCAGGTGTCGATTGCCGGGCCCGCACCTTGATCGGGTCCAGACAGACCACCAGAAAGAGAGGGCAGTCAGCAAAGTCCGCCATCTCCACTTCGCGCACGCTACTGCACCTCATGTGCAGATATCCGAACGAGCAGCCATGCAGCGAGCTATCTGCAGAAAGTGGATTAAATTCGCTGTAGTCGGTAGATGCTGATGAAGAGACACTCACAGTGGTTGCAGTAGAGCATGACGAGCTGTTACGTGCGGGTGCGCCAGAACCTCGGACACTGCTGGACGATTCCGTACGTTCACGTCTCTTTTTCTTACCCTCCTTCTCGTCGCTTGCTTTCCCAACCGCAGGCGCTACTACTGCCATCGCGTCTTTCTTTCTCTTCTTGCTCTTATCAGATCGTGTGAGCTGATAGACGTACCAAGAGTATATCTCCTCGTGCTCTCTCTTCCTCTGTTTCGCGAGATCATTCAGTATTTACGTTCCTCCTCGGACAGTGAATGCCATTGTTGTGAAATTGTTTTGGATAGGTCGGCTTGACGCTGACGTCTCGCGACGGAATCGCCTTCTGCAGCTGCTGCAGCCTCCGCCTCGTTCTTTCTCAAAAGGCATTCGCGACGGAAAAGGATGAATGCGTTCTCGGCTGCTTGACGTAGTCTTCGTCACCACGCTTCGGTCGTCGCTCGGTCCCTGCATGTTGAATCGCGTGTGAATATGGGCTGTGAGGTTATGTGTGTTGCAAAGTTGAGCCTGTGCTCGTGAGACAGGTTGGGAGATTGTCTGACTGAGGAATAGGGAGTTGTTGGCTTGTGTGAGTAATTAGAAAGAAGAGATGGACAGACCGCGACAGTGAGGGGCGAGGGGAGAGCAGTGCACCAGGTTGAGGGTTGACGTCTGGAGAGTTGAACGAGTTGATTTGAGCTGCAGGCGAAGCCGTGTCTGTGCGTGCGCGCTGCATGCTCTGGCTACGGAAAGTGGTCAGAAGCGCAGTGAACTGAGACGTGAATTGCAAAAGTGTATCTCTGGGACTAACCGGCTCGAACAGGGAAGGCAAAGTGGAAGGTGGACGGACTCGGCTCAGGAGCAGTAAGTGGTGGACCACTGCTTCTGTTCGAAATGGTGTCATGCACGGCACTGGGGAATACAAGTGTACGTACTCTGGGGCCATCAAGGATGATGTCATGCATGGAACGGGAAGGGAGGGAAGTGCGCGCGGGATCGGAGAGAGGATTATACATTGGGAGTGGTTGTATATGAACATTGTCGCAAGCATGTGCTTGTCGATTATTGCTTGTGCTGCAAAGCGGGAAGAAGTACGCGAATTATTAGCAAAGTTGTTTCGCATTGGTCAATAACACGGATGTGCGAATGCAAAAAGGGAGGCGAAGGGAAAAGGATAACAGAGGAGAGGCAACGCAAGGATACAGGAGAAAGGGAGGGAGACAAAAAGGTTGGAAGGAGAGGGAGGGGTGAGCAACTATTGTGCAGGGTATTATGAAGTGGATTGGCTGCTTACGCTTTACGTTGAAGGACGGTGTAGTCAGCTCGGTAGCATAATGCAGGACCTGAGGCACAGTACAGGCACTGCAACGGCAGATTGGAGAGACGAGTTGCTGCAATGTTTATTGTCTGTGTTGTTACATTCAGAGTACCTGCTGGAGGACACTTGCAAGCATAGGACTAGGATGGAGAGAACAAAAGCGACGGCATAGTGTCAGGTCAGAGGGTTATACTTAGAGAGATGGTGGAGGTCGGAGAGAAGGAGTGACACTGACAGCAGTAAGTGCGTCATTATATGCTCTCGATCTTCAGCACGTGATTACGTAATCAATCTTCGTGATAGTATCCAACTTGTACAGCAACTCAAATATCACATTTGGATATAAAATAAAAGTCTTAATTTACTTTAAATTACAATAAAAAGTAATCTGACAAGTATATATCTTTCTAAACACACTAATGTAATTGTTCTAAGTACCTGAATACCTTATGCAAATAATATAAACTCTATTACAAAGTGAATATTAGGCTGCCTTCAAAGTTATAATGCAAGTATAATACTTTAGCTTAATATACAAAGTTATTATAATGCATTTAATAAATTGCATTCGTCCATAGTACTTATAAAATCTTTAAATACACTAATATAGCTTAGAGTAATGTTATAATCACTGTGTAACCCTTACACTTACATTATGAGGTATATAAAATGTTTATATTATATTAAAAATACTGTAATCCATTATAATAAATCCGACTTTTTCACGGTGCTTTCCAGTGCAAAGTTTCTTAATCTGGACTTCTGGGAGCAATGCTACCTATTCACCAATTATATCGATGAAATGTGCAACAGTCTCAATCTTTTTGATGCTGTGTTCATTTGGCGTTAGTACAAAGCAAGTAAGTGCGTGTACTCAAGTGGCTTATCGTTGGAGAATGCATTTGCAATATTGTTTCCGCGCAGGGTTAAGAAGGCAACTCGGTAGCTGGTGGAGGAGTCCTGCATTCTTGGACAAACCAAACCTTCTCTTTCTTGACTTCCGTATTGGCATTGGCGATGGGACACAATCAACACAGACAGAGCACTGCTACTGTTCGAAGTGACGACACCTCGCAACAAGGGAAAAAAGTAGCTACACAACGACGAAATGCATGGACTCGTGCGAGCACTCGCCCTGTGCGAAAAGATAGTGGTGCGAAGGATCAAGGGAGAGAGTCGGCGAAGAAAGCACACACCAGCCACACGCATGAACGAAGAGAGGAGGGACGACCGTCCGTGGATGAAAGGTTGGGCATCTCATACGATACTATTTATCAGTTACTTAGTAATATTAATGCCGGCGAATAATCGACGTAGACCATCCGTAGCGGTACCGAAACAAGCTCCTCAGCAAGCACCTACTAAGCCGGAACAAGATACGTGAGTAATTCTGAAAGTAGTATCGCTCAATAACTCATTGCTCATCATTTGTGAACAGTCGCCGAACGTCAACGCCGGCAGTAACGAAATCGAAACGAGCTTCGCCCTCTCAGGCTCCTAAATACAGGGAATCATATGCATCCACTACGTGCGTAATCCTACTCAAGTATACTTATCTAAGACTCAATTATTGTGAACAGTTCGAGCCACCGTGAATCAACTATCCCATATTCAAGTCCTCTCGCTGGCACAGAAGGGTCTGCATCATCATCAACTATCTCTTCGTCGGGCAGTGAATCGCCCAAGCCCAAGATCTGGTTTAGTAATAATAGTAATACGACTTCGCCGATTCGCTACATCATGTCTCCAACCCCAATAACGCACAAAATGCCTCCAACCCCAATAACGTACAAAATGTCCCCAACCCCAGCAACGTACCCGTCGTTCACCTACACCGCAGAGCCTGTTAATATGTATCCACGAACACAAGAAAGGTGTGAACTGATATTTATGTAAGTTATTACGATTTGATTAACGGTTATGATAGTTCACAGAGTTCGGACGACGACGAAGAATCCGACAGTGAAATGCCGGAGCAATTGAAAGATAATAAAGACAATATGCATTGGTATTATACTGAAGATTCAATTTCCTCTGAAGTCAAAGAACATAATAGAAAAATGTATGGAATACAGACCGGGAAACAGGCTTTCAACAACTATAACACGAAGCAAGGTGATCCTTCAGGAAATTATTACTCCTATGAATGGGGTAGACTACTTGGAGAGGGATCATACGGCTGTGTATATGTAAGCAGTTTTTATCACAACTTACATTTACAACTTGCTTATTACTTTTATTGCTAGGAACTCAAATGTAGAAATCTGACTACTTCTCAAAAGGCTGTGTACTATGCAGTTAAAGTTGTTAAAGATGAGGATAAAGAAAGAATCAAACAGGAGACAAAAACATTACAGTTTCTACAGAACTGTACACATAAAAATATTGTAAGCACAATGACTACAAACAGTAACTATATTAACACATATTAATACAACTATTTCTATTATAGGTAAAGTACTATTGGTCCAATACCATTCATAATAGTACTTTATTTGCCTTTGAGCTCATCAATGGTGGAGACCTTCATAGTGCAACAGAAATGAGGTACAATAACCAAAATCCTTGGAATATAAGTGAAATTGCAAATAATACAAAGTAATTCTAATTATTCTAAAGTACTCACATGTACTTACTATAATTATTACAGACAAATATTGGATGGATTACACTTTCTTTCTATTTTTAATAAAACCTACCATATGATTCATTGTGATATTAAGTAAGTTTTTACATTAATGTATTTGCATATATTAAGAAATCCTTTACAGGCCTGCAAATCTTCTACTTAATGGCAAAACTATAAAAATCACTGATTTTGGACTGTAAATAATTAAATTTATCAATTATCATATATTTTACTTATACTTATATTACTAAGTGCAACAAAATTAAAACATGAAGTCAAGTCAAAAGAGTATGAATTAGCTGGCACATCTGATTATATGGCCAAAGAAAGATTTTCTGGCTTAGTAACTCATAACTCAGACATTTGGTCTGTATGGTAATTGTATTTTATAACTTTGTTCTAAGCACTTTTTTTATGTATATTTATAGGATTACTGCATACTTTATGGCAGGAGCAAGTGAACCTAATAACTGGGATGAAAAATGGAAAGAATATAGAAAGAGAGCTATAAAGCAGCAATTGAAAGAAAGTAATGTACCTTTGTTATTTAAGACTCAGAGTAATTATAATTTTCTTAATATATAAGAATCTGTGTTTAATATTTGTCTGTTGTTTAGATAGGCGTGAGAGAGAAGTGATTGTAGCTGTAACAGATTTTTATATGAGGGACATAAAAAAGACATTAATCCAACTTAGAGAGTTATCAACTTGGGATACAAGTTTGTAGTTGATTAATTTGTATCTTTCTAAGAGTTACTCAAAATTCTTTAACAGATTTTGTACAATTTCTTATATATTTAGCTGAACCCGACTGGAGAAAGAGACCATCTGTTAAAGATGCTCTTAGACACCCTGTAAGCAAGCTTTACAGATTTTCGTTCTATACAGACCCAATAACATTATTTGGTAGTTTATTACACTGTACAGTAATCACTAAGCTCAGAAAGGGTCAAAAAATGGAATAACTATACTTTAGTAGTGTTATTCTATAGTAGTAAAATGATCTAAACCTGAATAATAATGTGGTTTTAAAATCTATACATTAGGGAGACATATGGTCTAAAGTCTTTAGTTTATATTGTTCTTACTATTTAATAGCTAGAACACTGTCTGGTCTTTATAGTTTGAAGGTAAGAGCTATGTCGAATTGAGACTTGACTGTAATGAACATGCTGGCTGATTCGATTTTGTAATGAACAAGACAGCCCTTATACAGAATTCAACCTATTATTGCCTTTTGCATCTGTATGTATGTCCCAACTTTCCTACTGTCTTAATACTGTTTTGTGGCTTTAGTGACTAGCTCTACCATCACTTGTAAAATAGGACATGGACTGTTTTCCTATCAATATTGTTTCTCATGTTTTATTCTTTCTTCATTCATTCTTCTCTAGTCTTTGTTTGCTCAAGTAGCAAGCAGTTGGTAGTGTATGTAGTAGTCAAGTTTTCTTACAACACTATGAATAATTGGATTTCAAACTAAAGGGTAGCCTTTTTAATGATACCTTCTTCTGGGTTAGATATTAGGAAGGAGGAGTAGGAAACAGGCATGTAGTGTGAGGGCAGACTGTATGTTGTTACAGTAGTATTAGTACTGTACAGTTGTACAAACTTACTAGAACCACATTGTGAAAAAGTCACATTCCTTATAATGAATTGTAGGTTTTGTAAAGTACTATAAGTATAGCATATACACTTTAAAGTAATTGTAAGGCTTACAAATGTATTGTAATGTTTAAATAAGGTATATTAATATATATAAAGACTATATAAGTACTATAAATGTATACAAACTATTAAATACATTATACTAACTTTGTATAACAAGTGAAAGTATTATGTTTGTATTATAATATTAAAGACAGGGTGATACTTACAATATAATAAAGTAATAACAATTATTGTTAACTTATAACTTATACAAAAGGTATATTAATGTACATAATAGTATAGAAGCACTTGTTGTATTATTATTATCTTAATAAAAGTATAATATAAGTATATAATATATATAATTTACTTAGATTATTTATACAAACAGTTTACAATTATTGTAAAAGGCATTTCATCTGCTTATAATAATTACATTAATATGTTTAAGAGTTTATATGTATGTTAGATTACTTATTACTATACTGTAAAATATATATGTACTTTTTATATTATATCTAAATATAATATCTGAATTGTTTTATTTGTTATAAGGTTAGGAAAACATAAACTCAACCAACCTGTCACATCAGTCACAGCACAGCCACCTTCCCCATTAGGAAGGACCCTGATGGCAAAAATTGTAGGGTAGACTGTAACATTTTCTTTAACATTTTTGAGTACAAGTACATAGATAAAATATAATATAAACTATAAATGAGCTACCTTTAAATCTTTTATAAGACTGTTTAGAAGTGTTAGGAATTGTAAAATACAGTAACTAAGTTTGAAAAGTCTAACTCAAGACTTGGAACCAAGTAGTTTATAAACAAAACTCTAATAGTTACAAGTCTAAAGATTGGCCAGATTCTTAAGTCACCTTTGTTGTCCTACTCAATAAATACTCTAGCTTAGTATTATAAACCTCTAATTATTACCAATAGGTGATCAATCCATTAGTAGAGAGAGGGGACAGGAAGGAGTAAGTATTAAGTTAATTAGGAAAAGGTAACAAAACCTTCTAAGATCTTTATCTCTGTCAGGTCAAACACATACTCTGTTAGGATTGTAGAATTGGACCTATTTCATTTTCTTTATATCTCTATCAGTTTTGCAAAAAAAACTAATATTACTACTGGATTTTCATGATTCTTAACATCTTATCTATTGTTCTACAAAGTTTCATAGAGATTGTATTAGTATTGAGTACAGGAGAGAGCTACAGAGACATGAGGTAGTGTATACAATTATAATACAGTCAATTCATTTCTCATCCAATATAGTAACTTGTACCTCTTTTGTGTAATAGCCTCTTAGCCTATATTCTTTAATGTACATGTAAGGATTTGATTTACTGGTTTGTATTTTATTATTACTACATTGCTGATTGTGTCAGATCATAGCACAGTAGGACCCACAAGTGCATATATTCTCATTGTAGTTAGTTACACTTTCTCCTCATGTATCTACACATGTACCACCCTATAAAAGACAGTATTGATTGCTGGGTAAAGGGGATTCTTTTCTCCTGACCCTTTGCTTGAGTACTAGGTTATCCCAGTCAGTAGTTGAGTGAACTAAGGGTGATTAGAATTCTCTTGTGAGGAACAGTGAGTTTCCTTACATATTTTTGACTGTACCCACCTAGCACTGAAACCCCTTGCTGGACACTGAGGAACTGAAGGGTCTGATCAACCCTAGGTCTCCCTTGTTGTCTAGTACCCATCAGGAATTATTAGTGAGTAAAGTTACAATTTTCGAGTAGAAACAGAGACTACTTACTGGATTGGCCCCTAGTAGGTTCACAATACTTTGGAATGCTGTGGAACACTTCTGGAACACATTAGCACATATTGATATAGACCAGTGCTGGATACACTGGAGGTTTGCATTGATTGGATGGGTTGAGGACCAGGCATCTGTGATGGCAAAAAGGAACAAACAGGTGTGTATTGAGTTTACAGGCAATGGACAACAAGATTATCCATTGGATATTGATTACAATGTGGCCACCAAGCCTTGACTGACAATTCCCAGAGGGTACCCAAGTCCAGATATTGATACTAACATGCTAGGATGTAAGTCCTTGTCCCTTGTAGGCTAGAGGCAACCTAATAAACCTATACCAGGTGATAAGTCCTTGTCTACACAAGGCTGGAGGCACCCTGATGAACTAGTACATACCAATAATGTAGAACTAAGGTATGTAACTGTACTAGCACATATAGTTAGTCAAACACACACTGTAGGGCAGACACTAGCAAGTATTAACACTACTAGGCTCAGAGAAATAGCAAACAAAGGTACAGAGAGTGGAAATGCTTAGGCAATTGTTCTTAAGGATTCAGACAGTCAAGTTCAGGATGAACAGGCAATTGGATTCGAGGATTCATCCAATCGAGTATAGAAGGTCAGGTTTGAGGATTCAACTCACTGAGTACAGGCAATTGAGCTTGAGGATTCACTTGATCAATTTCAGGCTACTGAGTTTGAGGATTCACTCAATAGAGGACAGGCAATTTGGTTTGAGGATTCACCAAGTTGATATAGAGAGCTAACAGCAAGCATTAAGGAATTTGCAAGCTAGTACAAGAGTTATAGAGTGTATATAGTCAGTATCAGTGAGAGTGTAGATAAGTATCCAGTGAGTGTACTTACTTCAGAACAGAAACACATTAACAACAGTAATGTAGAGGGTAATAAG